AACGGTGTGGAATCATTCATAAATAATTGAAATAGTTCAATAATGGATTCGATACACCTATAGGTATATTCGTAAGTATATGTATAGGTACATATCATTTTACTCTAAATTTACTTTCAGTCATTTTAGTATTTTTTCATACTGTAGCTGTAGGTAGTAGCAGGTCGTAGCTGGTTATTGAAATTAATTGACTTGTGGGGGTAGGTAATGTGAATAAATAAATAAAACCAACAATCTTGTATTTAACTAAATTTATTTGTCAGAATTTTCAATAAATTAGCTCTAATACCTATGTATTTAGGTTTAAATATTGGAATATACCAATATTGGATTTTTTTATTCCAAACCATTCCACCATTTTCATCATATAATCCACAGACCATAATACCATTCAATTGAATTATAATATTATATTTATTAATAATATACCAAAAATTAGGAATTAGGATACTATTCCGTATAGCTAAACTTAGGGTTCAACAGTAGAACTTAACGGTCACCATTAACTATACGATAATCTTAATCACATTGACTTTTTCGACCCACACTATTTGAGATACAGCTATGCAATAAAATATCAGTACTTAAAATATTAAAAAAATTACTCTGCTGTACAGTAGGTTACAAGTGGGTCACTGTATAATGGATAGTATTAAATTTAAATTCAATGATATAATATCATTGTATAAGAAAAACGATTCTGAGCGGAGACGGTATGTCAGTCTAGGTATAAGACATATTATATACAATATACTTATCTATCGTATTAAAAAAAAATTACCTAAAATAGGTACCTATAATAAATTCCAAATTAATCATATCACAATATCCATTAGGTACTTATAATGCGTTATACGTCAACAACAAACCCTGATACTATCATAGTCCATACCTATTCCATAGATATATAATAGTGTACTTTAGAAGTTTCAAGTACCCATGAATAATATTACAGAATCACAAAAAAATAACTAAAATAGTTATTCTAGGTTTTTTATTATGTAATTTCGTCCAAATTTGAACTTGAAATGACTATAAAAATAAAATTTACTTATGTATTTTTTTAGATTTTTTGGTAACAGAATAACCTACTTACGTGGAATCTTGTTTTAAATTTTCAATCCTTAGATATAAAAGTTGAACATTTTATAATTTTTAACTACAAAATAATTATTCAAATTTAAATTTGATAAATTTTGTCAAAATTCGATCTTTAAATGCTTATAAAAAAATTTGTGGCTATGTATTTTTAATATTTTACAATTGATATTGTAACAATATATCAGGAGCCTTGTATTAAAGTTTTACACTTTTGGGCCCAACAGATAAGACTTTATTGATATTTATAGAATAAAAAACTAAAAAAATTGGACACTGAAAATGTTAGTAAACAGCTCAGCAAAGAGTCAAAATTTTATGGTGTGTAGGAAATGTTAGCATTTAAACATTCAGTGACATTTTCATGTATTTACAGTTATTTGTTTTTGAATTATAAGAAAATAAGGAAATCGCTACATGAGAAATCGAGTGAATATCCAATGTTGTAAAAATTTGAATTTCAAACGCTCATAAAAATGTAATTTGACTTTCTTATAGACATTTTTTTTTTAGATAAATGTAGGTAATCTTATAAGGAATCTTGTATTACATTTTAAAACCTTTGATTTAAAAAAAAAATTTTTACGAATTCATAACTCAAAATAATTTACTAATGTTCGTGATTTTTCCATATTTTGTCAATTTTTAAACTTTAAATGCTTATAAAAAAAACTGTGGCTAAGGTTTTTTAATATTTTTCAAATGTCATTGTAACAATAGAGTAGAAGCCTTGTATTAAAATGTCAAGCTTTTTTAACCAACAAATAAAATTTTATTGATATTTTAGAAAAAAAACTAAAAATAAAATGGAAAATGAAAATGTGCCTAAACAGTTCAAAATAAATCAAAACATTTTGAAAATGTTATCGTGTATAGAGGATGGTTATATAAACATTCAGTAAAAATGTCATGTACCTACCTACGGTCATTTGTTTAAGAGTTGCACCAAAAACCAAAATCGATTTTTCGAAAACAGATTTTAGTGTAAAAATTCCCGTTTTTCCTTAATTTTTATTTTGTTTTTCACTCCGCTTTTAAAAACTACTGAGAAATTTTCACTTTTGACCCCCCAAAGTACCAACTAGATTCACTTTCCTATCAGAAAAGCTACTGTTGAAGAAAATCCAAGCACTTTTACTGTCCTAAAACGCGATGACAGACACAAAAAAAAAATAAAAAATAAAAAAAAACACACATCATTGTTAAATCAATACATTCATCGTTTCACTCAGAATCTAAAAGTATTATATATAGCCACATATTTGTATAATATGACTCCTTAAATTCGTGTAAAGTATAAGATTGTGATGTTAAAAAAAAATGGAGGATATTATATTCTTTAAAACAATTTGGCACTTTTAAAGGGTGAACAAAAGGGCAGCGCATAACTTATTATGATTATTATTATGAAAACTTATTTGAAAAAACCTTATCCAAAGAGATTTATTGTAATGCAAAGCATAAATACATGATTAGTATTATGCTCTAAATAGTAAACAGCCACAGGCATTACAATCAAAATGTTTTGTATCCTACATAATATGAAAGTATATTATACTATTATAACATTTTCAGGACGGCGTAATAGGTATGTAATTTAGCTACATCGTATTTACACCACCACAACAGATGGCTTTATATTAATATTATACCAGTAGTTGCTTGTTAGGAAGAATGTCCTATAATTTATAGTTTTGAGTTAGAATTGTGGTCAAATATATAGTATTCAAAGTCGGGAAGTTCCTCGTTGATATTAGTTACGTTTAGAAATTACACAGAAATACATGACCGAAAGGTTATGATTGTATTTTACAAAGTTTGATGAATAACTCACGGTAGATGTATAGTAAATAAATTAAATCTACAATATAATAATAATAATAATAATAATAAAAAAGTATTTTACACAACTTTTAATGTTTTAATAATTAGGAAATAAGGCACCTAAGAATAAAATGTAATGGCCAAAGATCACAATGTAAGAGTAAAACCAGACGATGGCTGTTTATCCGAAGTTCTCGAAGTGGTGAATGAAGTATGGCAACTTTCTGCCCTTATTTACTTCTTCGCACGCCGTCATAACGCTCTTCGTCAGTGGCCTTGGTCCACAACTGAACACTCCAATCTTGCTTACCTGTAATACGATTATTATTATTATAACATGTTATTTATATGTTTTTTATCATTATCGCCGCCATTGTGATCGCAGCTAAAGATGAAATAAAGATACTTACGTAACTATGTTTCTTCTGAACAAATTTCAAAAATGACGACATGTCCGGTCTACCGAAATGATTTACCGCTTTCAACCCGGTAAACATGCTCATTTTGCTCAGTCGTTGAAAGTGGTTTTCACAAATGTACTATTTTAGTAACAACACAAAAACCATATGAATTCAATATTAGCAAACGTTAAGTGTTGTGTAATTGCTGTGCAAGTTTTGTATATTATACGTACCAACATGGTAGTCCGCAAATCGAACTTATGGAAGAATTGAGTGATGAATATGTGTATTTCTAAAACATTAGTCACGTCTTTTTTCTCGACGTCACGTAGCACGTCAATGAACCATTCAAAGTGTTTGTGCGAGGGGCATATCCACAAAAAGTAGACCTAAAATAGATCCATCAACAAAAAAATACATATTTTACATTTCATCCTCCAATTTAGGTGCTTCTACTTCTATTGAAAAACGTTACTTACTTTTTTACAGGAAACTCCCGAGTAACGGTTGGTTGACGTACCGAACACCAAATCGTTTAGGATAGAAGCGTACGGAGTGATGCCTATACCTCCCCCGACCATGACTGCCACTTCAAACTTGTACCAGTCTTGATTTCCACCTCCAAACGGCCCTTCGAGACGTATCTGCGCACGAGACAAAAATGTTATAACTAAATATTTGCATTTGTCAATGTTTGTTGAACCGAATTATGTGAGCAAAATATTGTAATATATAATGCCCAGACGTCACCTTTGGCTGATGGAATTCTGGATTGATATTGCTTGGATCGAAGAAATTTCTCAACTTCCAGGTCCAATGCCCTTGCGCCTTGATATGACAGGACAAGAAGTTTTCATGTGGAGCCGAAGTCAGAGTGAACGAATGGTATTCCGTAGACTTAAGAGCAGTACAATTCAAACGTATCCATTGGCCGGACAGATATTTAAAGTTCGGTGGGCGGTAGAACTTTACTTTGAGTACGTCGGATGGTAGAAGTTCAGTTTCTAGTATGTCTAAGGCCATATATTTAGTCCTCAGACTCACCACCTTATCCAAAATGAATATGATTCCAGGACCGATGAAGTATTTCCAGAATTTCGGTGGTCCGGTAATCCTTGCTAACCCATGTAATAACATGAGTACATACATTGCCACGTACAGACAGTGAGTGGACCAGAAGTACACGTAGGCTTTTTTCCGTATGATGGGATGCGCAAACGTAAATATGGTGATCATTATCACGAATAAGCACACTCCAGTAACTCCTGAAATTAAATAGGTAATGTTTTCGATACAGATTTCGATACCACCGATGACTAACAAACTATTCTTGTGCTCTCGTACCTGTAATTGTTTTAAAGAGCCAGAATGATATGCCTGGCTTATAGTCAGACGGAAAGTGTATTTCAGACGTCAAACAGTGAAGATTTTCTAATGGCTGGGTTGACACATGATAGAAATTGATTATATGACCAATGGTGTGTATGATGGAAAAAAAAAATGCAGTGCAAGCGATCACTTTGTGGAATGGTATGTGAGAGTCCAGTGGTATATACTGCTGTATGGAGAAGTCTTTTAGCTTCGTCAATAGATTTCTCGACATGGTGAGCAATAATAAACAATACCCGAACGACAAAGAGGACGCGGATCCTCTTGTCAACGCTATGCCTACTCCCATTATGTGACGAAGATCGGTGTGTTCGGCCAAAACGAATAATCTGTAAAATGGGTTCGTGAATAGATATTACTTGAATGCAAAGTTATAGACAAAAAAAAAACAGTTTGAAAATTATTATCGGAACACTTACATATAAATTGGTGAACAAACAATGCAATTGTGATGACATAGAAGACGAACAGATAAAATATGTTTTGTCTGTTTTCTTCCAAGTATGTAACAATGCAATCAATACGACTCTTGATTTTCCCTTTATCGTCGTGGAGAGATGGATCGACGTGAAAACTGGTCATTCTACAGCAAAAAAAATAAATTAATAAAATATTCGGTGATTATATATTTGAAAAAAAACCAAAAAATTGTCCATTATTATCTTTACCGTGCTACATTGGTCGACGTGTCTAAGAAATTTTGTTTTGCACCTTTGCAATCCAATCCAATTGCGACAAAATCACCTTTGTATTCTTTCATCATGAGTTTAAAGTCTGCATACGTCATGAAATCTTTATTAGATAATCCCACGTTCTATGGTAATCAAGTTTTATAGATTATTTTAGATTTGTAAAAACACATAACTATTATTGTTATATCAGTACTTGGAACATTCCATCAATTAGTTCGGTGACGTGAGCATCCGATAAGCTAGTGGTCCGGGCGATTTCAACCAGGGATCTTAACATTTCGGAGAATTCGCCTTTGTCAATGACTCCATTCCGATCATTGTCGCACATATCGAATATGATTCGAAGTTTGTCTTCAGTTTTACCTCGTGAAAAAAGAACAACTGTGTCCAAGAATTCCTATGAACAAAAATATTCAACTGTTAATAATTACGAAATTCGTGTGTGTAATTTGTATGCAGTTAATAAGGAAAATAGTAAATATCTGAAACAGTAATGGTAAATTTTTTATATACGAATGGAGGGTAAAGTGTATAGTTTAATTTTTAATGAAATTCTGAAAATGTGAATGGTCATTAAAAAATGTAGGTTAATAATATGGTACTTTAACTGTACGTTTCATGAAATAAATAAGTGACTCTTACAGTCTTATGCGTAAAAGGGTGTTCATAATAATTAATTGGATCAAAAAAATATTGTCTACCGACATGATTGAATGAAAAATATGATTTAAATTGATTAAATAATATCGTCCATTACATTGCGAATTTTCACTACGGCTATTTTATATAGGTAGTTTAGTATAAAATTATAATATTATGGTAGTATTTACTAATAGACATGACATGAATATTACGAGACAACAAGTTCAAACCTGGAACGATATTCTTCCGTCGCTGTCTTTATCTACGATGTTGAACATCATTCTGACGAATACTGCATCAGCTTTCATACCCAATGCAGACGCGAACTCTGCTTTTGATAATGAAGTTCTCATGACCACCTGTGAAATCGTAAAAGTAAAATTCAGTTGTGATCAATGAACTGTTAACGTATATTGTTCATTCACACGTTATAACAAGACATAATGAATATTGCTTCGGACATCAGGTTAGTCATTATTGGTAATGTATACCTTATTACTTTACACTATAATATATTATTTACTTTGTTACGTACAGATTCCTGAATTGTACACTTTGTTCATGTTCAATAGACAAATATTGAATATTTCTAATAATAACTATGTAGGTAATATTATATGATGTAACAGCTGACAAATTAAATCACATGGTGGTATAGATAACTGTCCACAAAAATCAATAATGCAGTCTTTATGCGTGGTTTTAAGCACTTTTCAACACATTTTTGGTATATTAGATCACTATATTAAAATACTAAGAAATTACTCTCCAAATATTTTATAATAAAATTAGATTTCAATGTAATTTTTTTTTTGTTATTTTAGCTTAATGCAATAATGTATTAAAATTGTATATGTATATGTATACCCATCATCAACTTACAGCAATGTGTGTACAACATGATTTGTACAATATATGTTTACTTTATATAAAAATAGAAGTCTTGTACACTTTTAATCTGAAATTAAGTACTTTAAAGTACTTAGATATATAATAAAAAGAAATTTTATATTTACATCTCCATCTTCGTCACCTCTTCTTCGGTCACCTGGTCGAAGTCCAAACGTGAGCGCGTATGCTTCCCTGAAAAAGTGTTCTAGTCTTTTTTGTCTCCTCTCTCGAGTTTCGGCTTGGGCTAACAGGAAGTCTCTGGGTGCCTGTAGAGTGACTAAGTGTTTTTTGTGCGAATTCAAAAATGCTTCGAACTTGTTGATGAACTTCCGCCTCTCGCCGACAGAGTCAAACTCAAGCACCAGATCGTGATCTTTTGGAACTCTAATCAAGACCAATGGACGTTTTTTTTTGCTACTGTCCACCTGTATACATTAAAATATTACATTATTGTCATTAGTTGGGCTCAAAACCAAAAGGTGCAGACTTCATTTTTTAAATTCCATTTTATTTTATTTTATACATATATGTTTAGTTATTAATGCTGCAATATACTTCAAAATTGTAAACAATCATTTAGGGACATAGTTCAAAGAGTTTATGAGAACTAAAAGGTTCTAAATCCACACAATTCACTAATTTATTATTTAATAATGATCTAATTATAAGTTCTTATTTTTTAATTATATTGTTAAATTAATAGGTACTATCTACATGATAAAATTGGAGTATCCCAAATGGCTTCCGTCCATTGTTTGCTTATTCCTTAACGGCTCCCGTCAAAAAAAGTTTTACGATCAGGTAAATTCCCAAACGGCTGACGGCAATAATTTTAACCTAACTGTTTGGTTATGAGCTTAGTGCCCACGTTTATATACTCGAGGTAATGGTCGTCATCTAGCTGTATCAAAACGAAAAATGGTTACTATTGATTTAGCACTCAATGTTACCTGTGATTCTTCGACGGTTATCGTGTCACATTTGGCGAAATTCACGGATCTCAGTTTCTCTCCCTTTCGGTCTACTGTGTGCATTTCGGCTTGCGGGCCGAACCGCACCTTCACCAACCTTCTGTGGTTCGCATGCAGCCATTCTCTCACTGACATCTTCTCGACTATTATGCCGTTCGATTTATTTCCCGATTTCATTTCTTCTTGTTTCATCCTCAAATGTCTTTTGCGTTTGTTCTGGAGTTTTACGACACCGTATCCTGCCCCAGCGCAAATGAGTGGAACGACTCCCAAAAATATACAAACGTAAATGTACGCCAATTCGTTTCCCTGAAATTGGTATATAACAGTTTACATTTGTGAGAACTATAATAATTATTCTATAAACATACAATTATCATACACTTTTTTGATGTTTAGGATTAGGTACCTACTCAATATAACATAATGGAATTAATAATTCTCGATTATAATATATTTCTTCGATAAATGGAAATTAAAATAATGTTACTCACACCTATACTATAGTAATATTACTTAAGTCCGGTAATATTATACTATACAATGTAATCTCAAGACTTTTTTTGTAATTAAATACGCATACGCAAAAATATAAATCCGCATTTAACACATTTTACATATTAGTAAATATTGATTACTTGTATAATATACAATGTATATAAGTTGTAGGTAAGTTTATCTTGTTATTTATCATGCAATATATCAGAATAATTTAGAAGATTTGCTATAAGATATCACGTTATTAAAAAAAACAGCTTAATTACAGTGGTTGAACATTTCAGTATAATTAACATTTGACATTACCTCGAAATAATCAAATCCTTTTAGATACGAACATGGTTCTAATGTGGATGGTTCTATTTGACCTGGCTGCGGACACGGATCTCCTTCGTTCCAGAAGAAGACTTCCCGTTGTATCGTGTCCGGTTCTATATCAGTGCTGTTTACTATTACGTCCCACAGAGTCACCGAACGTACCCATTCAAGCTCCTCGTCCGTGAACATACTGCGTAAACAATAGATCAGAATTTTTTTCTATGAAACGCTTCCACTCACTAAAATGGGCGTAAGACTCACTCGTTTTTATCATTCTCAAACCAGAATCTATCGGCTTCTCTGATTCGGACAAACTGGTCTAAAATTATTGCAGTGAACAATTCACCGGGACCGTCTTTCGACTCTAACATGCCCCCGATGTATAAATCCACATTGTCTACGCTACCGTAAGCTTTTAGCAATTTATCTGCCAAATCGGGATGGCCCCGGAACAGCTCCTCGTTGATGTCTTCGAACTTTTCGACTCGGGGTAGTTCGAAATACGTTCTGATCTAGGAAACACCACCATAATCAATATTACCAATTTTTAAATCGCAACATTTAGTAGGTGTAGTTTTCTCTCTCTCTCTCTTTCGCCAACACTACCGTATTGTAATCTGCTAGCCCGTTGTCCCGGCCTCGCATTATGTTGAGTGCTCCCAGATCCCTCCGGGAAAATTCATTGGGCCCAAATAGCTTATCACGGACGTCCGAACAGAGTACCGCGTCTTCCCGTTCAGCCAGCTGCGAAGCCATGCCCAACATGAACTCTTCAACGCTACTGTCAGACATCACATCCTGCATCATTCGAACGTTATTAGTTATTACAGACCTATCCAGCTTATAGTTATAAGTTATGTGAGGGTAGGTAGTTGTTTTCACGATTGGAGTCATCGGGATGTTATTTACATTACATGTTTATAATATAGATACTTACACTGGAATCCCACCAATAAGCGCACAGTCTCAGAGCCGGATTCCCCATGGCTGTTTTCCGATAATTGCATTTTCCGTCTCTCCGATATATGCCAGGTGGAATCATCGTGTGCCCGAACCGGAAGGCTGACGATTGGAACACGTGACTGACACCGGGGTGTACGTCCAGCTTGTAGCCCGTGTACTCTGGTAGTTCTGTCCCCAAGAACGCAGGAATGTATTCATAAGCAATGATGTTCTGAAAAACGAATGTAAATAATACATACAAATCTATATAAAACGATAAATATTCAGTAATCCGGCGATAAGCTTATAATTGTACAGATAATGATTAGTGTAGTGCGGCGTAGTACATACCTGCAAAGTGGCCACCACGAACCGCCTAGCTCTCTGAAATACTTCTTCGTCGGACCAGTCCGGGTGTTCTAGCTGCACTCTATCGGCTAGCACGTTGTGCCATTTGAACAGCAATATCCCAAACGACAACAAAGCTGGGTTTTGATTACTCCTGGGATCTCCCAATACTATACATATATAATATATATACACGATCGGTTTATTATATTATGTTATAATTGAATGTCATTTACAAGGACAAAATATGAGTATTACGATTTACGATGTATAATAATATAGTATATGGGTTAAATGCCAATATTATTGATGGATAACTGTGAGTCACTTACGGAAAAGTCTCTCGGGACTAAGCGTCCGCAGAATATTGGGTACAGGATTATTAAATAAAGGAACACGCATCGTGTTCCTCACCGGAAATCCATTAGTGGGTTCGCTGAGAAGCGTACCGTTTTTAAAAGACCTCATGGCGTTTATCCACGCTTCACTAGTACTATAGATAAAACTTCCATCGATCCAGCTGGTGACCCGGTTTATCTGAAATAGATGGTTTTGTTGTAATAAAAATTAAATTAATTTATATAAGTACATAGAGTGTAAAATATTACACGTGTATGACTCTGTGGTTACCTGTTGTCTCGGCGTGTTTGGACTTTGACCGGTGTTCCGGTCATAACCCGCTCTGTGGAAAGGTATCGATTTACCGCCTTCGCACTCGTGGTCGTACATCTCGTCACACTTTTCGATTTCAATTGGATGCACTTCTATCGGACAACCACTTTCGCTGCCCATTACGATTTCGGAACTCACGACTTGACCTGTGCCGATTATCAACATGATAAACAATTAATTTTTATGAAATTATTATCGTTCCGGCATTTGTTATATATTCTTGTATTATACGTACCGAAAAACGCTAAGATCGCAGTCCTGTTCTTTAGTGACGACAGACCTTCTGATCCTTTCATGAACAACGAGCTTAATTTTCTAGGGCTTGGTCGGTCTTGACCGGACATCATGTATACCCCGTCGGAGTAGCTGGCAGGTGTTTTCCTGGTCATGTGACTATCTGTTGACATAACAACAAATAAAAAACTATAAATAAAGTTTTTGACAAAGGTAGTCAAGTTTTATAAAAATATATTTGGATTAATTAAGTACCTAGATTCAACGTCAATAAAATTAAGCTGCAATGTATTGCTAACAAACAAAATATTTAACTTCAAAAGTTTAAAGTTAATACAGAGAATAAAAGTTACTTGACTTAGTTAAGTTTATCTTAATTACGTTCGGGTTACACATATAATGCTTGTGCAACTTATTTTTTTTAAATAAAAACTAAATATTTTGTTAACAATGTTATTACTTCTTATAGTGCACATTAGCTGTAGTGGCTTATAGGTAATTACGCATTTATGTCAACTAAATGATTAAATAAAGACATTTTTGTTTGTTTATTTATAATCATTGTATATCGATAGAGAGTGACGACGGATTGAACATATATATAATTAATTAATTAGATATAACTATACAGTTGTAACTTATAAGTTATGACGTATACGTAGATATACTATATATAGGTAGTTATGTATAAACATGATAAAAATTAAAAACCAAACCTATTATTTTTCAATTCAATTAGAATGGCGCTATAATGGATTCTAATGAAGTCATTATGCAATTAGAAAACTGACTAATTGCTATAATTTGTGAAGTTGGAATGTTTTAAAAAATAACCGTTTAACTAGTTAATGCCCAACTTTGGTTTTTGGATATATTTTTATGTAAAAAAAATCATCATCAAGTATATTGTAATGAATTATCATTAATATTTGTAAAAGGTAAACACTCTAGTTCTCGACTTTACCGAGGCCGTTCTATTCATAAATTCGACTATACGGCGAAGGCGCGGCAAATCAACCGACCATTGTTTGCTTGAGTTGAATAATGTAACTGTTGCGACAAAAGAATGCGCGCAAATGACAAGAGAGATCCAGTTCAAGTGCCCGTTTTAACCTTATGCCTTATTCGATCATTGGGTTTATGATCGTGGTTTTAAAAGCAATAGTATAATAATTGTGCAACTATAGCATTCGGAGAGTATCATATAAACATTATGGAAAGTAATTTATCAATTAAACCTATCTTTCCGAATGTATGCGACTCATTTACACACATACATATACATTATTATATACAATTGAACCATAAGATATAGTCTTGTTTTTTTTCGGGCATTTTAGCCGGCTCATTATGAGCTACTATAGTCGAGTTGTTTATTAGAATGCTTATTACTACATATGGTTTGAGTATATGTTAATTTAAACTCAATTTTTCTCTTTTAGTACAATATATACTTTTATGTTTTTGAAAGTGTTTTGCACACAGCTATATGTATAAGGCATAGTACAGGCATCTGTACAGTTAAATGTATAATAGGAAGGTACTTTGAATGAATTCATGTCAACTCGTTTTACAGGCATGGAGGCCAAACCATCATCACGATCTCACAACTAATTTATAAGCGAAATAATAAGAAAAAAAACGAGAAAATAATACCATCCATTTGTTTTGTTGTTTAGGTGCGTTTGTGAATTGAGCACGATTATTTATTGTCCATTTTCCACATTATAACGTTACATCATTCCGAGGAAATGTGCTTCAATGGAATTTATTTACTCATATATTAATAATATATTATACGACATAAAGTTTATTTATACACAACACACCGAGTGTGAATCACGTGCTGGATATAGAAAAAATAAATATTTAGGGTAAAAGTATGGTTGCCTTGAGGAAATATTTTTGGGCGCGTAATGCCAGAAGCACGAATCCGTCCTTGAGCCTCGAGCAGCTTAGTACGTGTGCGGTGTGATATAAAAAAACTTAAGAAAAATATTAAATAACTACATTATATAAATGCCATTACTCAAACAAACCAATTCATTTTTTTTTCTTTTACATTAAAACGACGTACCAATGAAAATATAACGATTTGTAAAAAAAAAAAAATTACGTTTTGTGTGTATATATATTATAATAACATCACGCGATCAAGCGCGTGACACTGACGAAACTCTGTAGATTCGAGGCAAGGTCACTCGCGAAAAAATTATAAAACAACATAATATATTATATCTACTGTGGAATTCTGGAACAGCAACAATATAATATTAGACAGCAAAACGTTATATTATATATATATTATATTATTTTTGGTGAGTTGAATTTTTCGAAAGGACAATATTTTACGATACGCGCACGCTCCACGATAGCGTATATTAAGTATAAGAGAACGATGACCGACTACGTGTGAAAAACACGTTTTTCGGTGCGAGGTGTTGTGCTTTTAATATACCAATATTATAAATATACGGTCGAGCAAGGCCATCGTGACTTACGCAGACATCGAGGAACGAGGTCGATTTTCGTTTTTGACTTGGCCGCGGGCGCCGTGCCGGTCTAGAGGAGATTTTAAAAAGATTCAAGTTCGGGCGGTGACTTTGTTGTCCGTCCGGCATCTATGTGGCTGACGATAGACTATGTGACATATATGTGTGTGCCGTGGTTGTGAATTTGTGATACCGGTATACCAAAGCTCCGGATAAACATATATACATATGTATTATATATTTAATATATTATACACTGGTATCGCAAATGAGATATCGCCGCAGTTGTTACCGGTGGCACCAATTTAGAAAAAATGGCTCGACGACCGCACCGGTGGAGTATTTGTGAACCCTTATAACTGAGCTGGGGCACACTATTAAAATATGTTCGTGTAACAAGCACTACTAAACTTTTTTTTAACTGCTTTTGATTACCTAGTGTATTTACCTATATAGATTAACTCAATATTAATTATTCATTATATATGAAATGTAAATGCTTGTTATTTTAATAATTCAGTTGTTTATTAATGTATTATACTTATTTGTTTTAATATTGCCATTAAACTATTAATAGTAAAAACTATTGGGTTTGTATATTTAATATTTTAATGAATTGCAATTATTAATTATTAACTTATTTTCGTTTTGTATTTTGGATTTTTGTACATAGATTATAGGTACATATAGTATAATATGGAAGAAAATTAGAAGGGGCATACAAAAGTGTAAAAAAACTCCCGTATTTTAATGTAAGAAACGCCATATGATTATAGGATTTAATTTAAAAGGGTCCAAATAAATATTTTTTAATAACAACAGGGATACCCCCTCCTCAATTCAAGCATTGTACATTCAACCTAATAAAAGGTTACAAATTAAAAACATCAACACTTAAAAACGTTTGTCTTTTAATGTTCATCAAACAGAATCAATATTGATAAATTTACATTTATATTCAAGCGTTTGAACAATGTGTCATTACGGTAGAAGAATACTCTCTCAGTTCGTAGTTAAATTTTATTAATATATTATTTATAACCGAATTTTAATAGTCATTATTTGGAACGTTGGAAATATTTTTCATCATGCAATTTTAACTTTTTACGCATAGATTAGGCATAGGGGCGTTTTTAGATAGTATTAAAGGCCAATAAAACAAAAAAAAAATTGCCATATGGGTGTTAATGTACAATCCTACCCCTTCCCAAAAATGGTTACTGACGTTAAACTGTCGTTGTTAACAAGACCCTTGGAGTTGGAGGTACCTATATTATGCACATCAAGTTTTTATCAAAAATGAACCACCTATATAATATTAATGGTGTAATGATGAACGCGCTTTTTACAGATTATTTCCCTAATTTTTCAGGAAATGTTGATACCAAAAATTAGGTTTTAATTTTTTTATGGTTGGGCCGTTTCAACAAAACACCTACGATCTATATACATTATACCTATTACCATTGATTATAATTATTACGAAGTATTCATAATCAATGCTACTACCTACTTATATTATAATATGTATATGTGTGTATGAGCTGCTTCTAATTATTACCTATATAATTACACACAACATTGCATTAGCATTATTATAAGATTCAAAAAAAAAATTAATTCTTTACGAAATAATTAGTGTTTGTATCAGTTGAATTAATTTAATTTAATAATCACACAGCACATCAAAATGCCTCTGAGGGTAAACCTATATTATTTTACTGTGTCGTATGACGTACCTATAATAATATTATACAGTAGATAAGTATCAATGTCGCCTGTTTGTTGTAGTTAACTGTTATTTCTATACTATTCCCGAACGTCAAAATAGATTTTTGATTTTGATAAAATGTCCACGTTACCACTTATAATAATTTATTATGCGTAAGTACCTACCTATATATACATACATCGCTATCGTAGGTAGGTATTTTACGATTCGAGTCTTTCAACAGCCCCGTTTCGTACCAGCAGCGGCTACGGCGTACGATGATTTATATTTCCTGATATCGAAATGTTATTACTTTTGTAATATACAAATATTATATGTATGAAGTGCGTATCGCAAATATGCAAAATGATTTATAATATTTACACGCTTATTTTTACACACATATCGCAGCTGTATTTACGTACACCACGATTAATCAACAACGTCTATACCATACACAACTTTGCTATTACAACCGCTTTGAGCCATTCTACATAAAAATATTTTTTCGTCATTACTGCTACAGTGACCACGGGACTCCAAGAGTCTGTGATCTGATTTCTCCACGGTCCACGGATACTTACAAAATAAATTAAATTCAATATTATTAGTTGAATTGCATTCTGACATTAATATGTCATTTTTTTGTTTGCTTAAATATACATCCCTCATCGTTTTTGGTGTTCCGAAATTTTTTTTAAGCAACTTTAGGGCTCTGAAATCAATTGAGCAATTGAGTTTGAGAACTACTGAAATTAAGGGATACAATCTCGAACACCAGTGAATTGCGTCAAGTCTTATTGATGATTCGCGTTGTATTAAAGAACGGAAAGTGGATATTTTGTACTTACATAACCCATATTATATACCAATAGCTGAATAACCTATTACTTTTCTAAATGCTTTATGTGTGTATATAGTATATATTTAAATAATATGTTACCAGCAATGATAATAAGTATTCAGGAAA